GTCATTTCTCTCTGGAGAAAAATAAATCTATCGTTGGCCGCCCTGTCGCTGCGAGCACGCACACTTCTTTTGTTTCCCTTTTTTTGCGCGACGGAGCAACGAGGGGTCAACCCTAGAGTACGTGCAAGATGGCGGAAAAAAACCACCGGTTGTTTATTTTGGGTTTCGAAAAAACAACAACAAAAGCTGCCAAACGGAAAGTCATTTCGTACGATCACATCAAGGCTTCTCGCCTACAGGTACATCATTTCCCGATGGTGATCAAAGCAAGCTGATCATCCTCACCACCACCACCACCATCACATGAACTCCACTGAAAACCGCAAAAGCTCAATGTTTCCAGCCTAGCCAGCTGGCCCTTTTGCTCTTCTTCTTGCCGTCCTTCTTGACCGCAGCCGTCGTCAACAAACTTCGACAGTAGCAGATGCTCTCCACCCTGGTATTGGCCACGCAGCGACTCTGCTCGTTGTACCGGTCCAGGCGGATGATGCTGCTGATGACGGAGATGGAGGATGGGTCCAGCCAACTTCCACTGCTCTTATTCGCTTTTGAAGGCCTCAGCGTTCCCTGGAGGAGCATCTCCACGGAGCCCTTGCTCGGCTTCAGGCGGATCCGCATAAAGAACCGGCGTCTGGAGCCAGCCGTTGAATTGCCGCCTCCACGTTTCGAAGACTTCAAAGGAGCCAGCTCTCCGGACATCTTCGCCTTCAGAACGGTGTCCAGCGACAGTTCGGCGCACTTGGCTTTGAACGGCTTCAGCCGTCCATTGAGGTAGTCGACCATGTACCCCGAGAGTGGCTTCAAAATCTTCTGCTCCTTGAGCACCGAGAAGGGGCCACAGGTGCAGTACTCGTCGGGAATGCCCGCCTGCTCGCAGGTTCGATTCAGCGGGATGGGCGAGAAGAGCGAGTGCCCGTACTTCTCATCCCTCGGCGGCTCCTCATCTAGAAGATGTCTCAGCGTCGCGTGGACATCAAACTGACTCGTCAGCCGACGAGTGTTCAGCCGGAAGATGGCTCGAAGCTGCTCGGAGTCCTGCCACCGCCCCCGCTCATCCTTCAGCCTCATCATCTGGGGAAGACGGAAGAACATGAAGGGCATCCGTGACTCCTGGAAGCCGCTGTCCGTCTGGACGATCTTCCCGAAGCGAATCCCGTGGTCAGAGTAGAAGATTATGAGCGTGTCATTGTGGAGGTGCTCGGCGAAGATCCGCCTCATGAAGCGAGTCATCGGCCCGTCCGCATACTGGGCGTAGTTGAAGTGATCATGCGAGATGGCGCCCATGTGGATGAAGGTAAGGAAGCGGCTCTTCCGCTCCCGGAAGGCCCGCATCTGGTCCAGCAGGAAGTCGTAGTAGAGCTCCATCTCCAGGCGGTCCTTGTAGCAGTAGCCATTCTTCATGTCCTTGTAGACGAGAATATTCACCGGGCGCATCAGATATTCGAGCGGTTGCTGCTTTCCGAAGCCATTCTTCTGGTGGTACGTCCACAGACTACGTAAGCAAACAGATAGAAAAAAAATGTTAGAAGTTTCGAAAAAGCTTCCAAACAAACAAACAAACTCCTCACCCCCAGTTGGGCATGTTCTCAATGTAGGTGGTCAGGTAGCCGGCCGCGGAGAAGTTCTTGAAGATCAGCGGAACGTCGTCCATCTTCAGCGAGCGCGGCAGCGAGTTGCTGATGCTCCAACCGGGCCGGCCGGTGAACATGCCAATCAGATTGGGGAAGGTGTTGTCGCCGATCTTCTGCAGCCCGTAGAGAGGGCCCTCGAAGTTGCCCTCCTCC